ATAATTTAAGCAGTAAATAAGCTAAAAATGTATCCCATCCTGCAGAATTGTCAAAAACGTGATAACTGTCAGAACGACTGATTTAGGCGCAACTGAAGAGTTGTTTAGAAGTAAATAAAATAATCAGATGTAAAATAATAATAATGTGCTCTGCTGCAAGTTCTCATGCTTGATCTCATGTTTTCTCCTGGTTTATTGTTGAGCTGTTGAATTGTTCTGTTAAAATAATCAGTTGCAAGCCTTTGACACTGTTTTAGCTTTAAGTGTCCATTCACAGGAGATCTGAAGACATCAGCATAATAAATGAGGAGAAAACAGGAGCTATTGACATGAAATAAAGAGTCTTTTCAGCAGCTCTGTTAATATTGATGAGCCTCAGACGATCAACACTCATTCAACAAGACATTCAGATCATCAGCAGATCATCTCTCTTTATTCTCAGTGTTTGCTGATAGAAACACAGTATTTGAGTCAGGATATATGATAAAAGCCTAGTTCTCACAATATGTATAAAACATAAATAATACAAAAAACTAACGCTGAAGTAAATAACTGCCCTAAAGCACCATAATATGCATGTCTAATCTAAATAGTTTGATTTTCTAATATCATATTTGCATAGATGGGCGAAACATAATCACCTGATTTTGTAAATGTGGCCAATTACATTTGCATTAAGCACCCAGTTTGCACTTGTCTATAACTAAAATGAATAGCTTTAGATTTACAAAATGAGCTTGCAATAGCATAAAATAAGCCTTTTTAACAAAAACGTTGAATACTGATATTTGAAACAATCAAAAACATGAACAAAAAGTCGAAATGTAAAAATGAAACCGCCAGTAGCTAAAGGTGATGTTAGAGTAATTGAGATTCGAATGATTCATTCAGACGACTGATTCATTCAGAAACAAACCCTGCGTCTCAATGTTCATACTATCCATCCTAAATAGTGTGTGAGATTAGAATAAGTGTGTCCCTCAGAAGACTCGGCGCTGACTGACTGAGTGAGCGTTAGTGATCATCCGGGATCATCAAAAAACCGCCAGATTATATTTAAAACGTCAAAACATCCATAAAGCAACACATTAAACAAAAACAAGGGTTACATTAGCGCCACTCTCGCCTGAGACAGGCAGCACATCGGTCAGCACAGACGCAGTTTGCCCATCATCCTGCATGCAGTGATGTTTATATTCCTATTGTCTTCAGAAAGATATGGAAATGTTATTCTCTAACGTTTTACATGGTTCATGCTTAACTCACATGCCATAATTATCATGACACAATCATGACTAACTCGCAAGGTCCTTTATTAAAGCAGCAATTAACAAACAATTTTAATCAAATAAGGAGGTACTCATCTTTATTTAAATAATGGTTTCTTCAGTTAAAATAAATAAACAACTCCCAGCTGATCAGTTAAATGTACATTTTCGCCGATAAAATCAAGTTATGCGCAGTACGGAACAGTTAACCCTTATCATCGTCCGTACACTGGAGGAGGCGGTACTTTTTCCCCACTTTCCTCAAACTATTGGTCCTAAAGACATCAAAGTGTGGACTGTATAATGGGTATTCCCCCAGAGAATGATCACAAACATGCTTGCCTGTCTTTCAATAACGGAGGAGCGGTCGCTGACGTGCGGCGAATAGCGAAAAATGTACGGAAGATGGTCAGTCTACGTTATATGAAGTATTTGGCAGTATCTGTTCTTAATTTTAACCATGTAAAGTAACAGTGCATTTTTGTTAGGACTGTTTCCTGAGCCTGGTAGAGGAAACTACAAAGCCGGCTGTTCTGACTCAGAGTGAAAAACATTTAAATATATATACACACACACATGAAAACAATGACCTTACAAAAGGTACTGGAAAGTTAGTTTAATAGTGTACACCAAGAAACAAACTGCGTACATAATGTAACATGAGACTCTGCAAGGTCAATACAATAACAGACCTTGCCAAGTAAAAAAGCTTATTAAAACCACTAGATTTACATGATCAGAGTAACTCCTCCACTAGAAACCACAGTCTGCTCACTAGAGATGGTCTTGACATTAGTGTCCCTTCCTGAAAGAAAAATTAGAAGCGTGAAGGCCAACTATAAAAATCTCAGTTCCTCTTGTCACATTAAGCCAAGAACTCACTCTTCCTGCCGCAGCTTTGCTCACAGGAGCCAGAAGATGGATGGCACACCGCAGTACTACAGTGGATGAAGATCTGATGGAGGAAAGAGGGTCAAGTCACAGAATCTATAAGGAGTAAAATTAAAGGTTCAAGTAGGGGGGGGGGGGGGCATACAGTTTCCTGCAGAGGAGCCAGTGA